AATTTTGGTGAATATTTTTGTCATTTTTGGTAAAAAGTGATATTTTCTTCTTGTTAAAAACCACAATCATTTATGGTCAAAAATGATATTTTTGAATTCTTGTTGAAAACAGCAAGTCCCATTGCATTGATACTATGCATATTGTTCATTTTCTAATGATATCTTCTGTTCTTTAATCGAAATGTGCATTGCTAACAGCAGAGCTATCTCAGCCGAGAGGCTGCTTGTTTAAAATAACCATTATTATACCGGTAATAATTATAATAGAAACAATGTAACTATAGAACGTTGAGCGACCCATAAAACAGTTCATAGATGAGAATTAGGCTTTTTTAGTTTTGATGTCATTAAGAATATATTTTTCCATATTTTTCCAATAAAGTTGACTTTAAACATTTTTTTATGTTTAGATCAGAAAATTTTAGCCAGTAAGTTCTTACTAACTGTACATCGTTTTAATTTTTGCTCTTTCTTTTTTCTGACAGCGACATCTGGATTGGGAGTCGGCTGCTAATTTCATGAAAGGGATTTATCTTACAATGTGCAGACGGAATATCATAGCCCATTTACCTCATCTTAAGGTACAGTACTAAAATAACCGTTCCACTCTGCAGAATGTGGTTGAGGTTAGAATTACCATAGTTGGATTGTGACCTGTGCAGTGCTGACACTGTCATCAGGATGATGAAAGAAACTTTGTGCTCCTACCGGGTATTTTAAAAATAATATTTACAAATAATGTTTCCATGTGTATAGCAGGTCTCTATTGTAATATATATAGTTCATAGCACAAAGTTCAGCACAACAAAAAATGATTATAGAAGCAACTCCAAATTTACAGCAACATAATATCCTGTCAATAATCTAACTCACGATCAGTCTAGCTCATTTGCATACATGTACACCACTTTGAATTCAGGATGCCAAGATAAGAGATCAAGTAACACCCTTAATATTACTACTGGTAACCTTAAAAACAATTAGAGAATAGATGTTACAGTTGTTTTTCCTGGCACTAAATCAATGTTCCCTGTCCTTAAAAACGAAAGGCAAAGTTATATATGGAAATGAACTGTGGTGGCGCTATAACCAACAACTATCCTACACAAGGCTTTAATAGTTTCTCTATGTTTTATACTTCTGCAATATTTATTGTTTCTGCACTTCAGAGCCTTATTAATGTTGGTATAGCCTTGGTTTTGGCTGATGGCTCACAACCAGGAGGTAGCGATGGAATGCCACTCATTCACTTATCTGCACCTACTGGAGGAGTTCAGTTCACACCACCTCCTGTATTCTGTTCATCCGTTGTGAGAATCACTGCAATGCAGATGCACTGTTTGAAGGTTTGTTATTTCATTCCTCAGTTATATTCAAAGTACTTGGTAATGCTATATAAGGTAATGCATGGTATATAGTGTGGGTAATCAGCCTACTATTTCAATGTATATAGGTAATATGGGTAATTGCCTGACACATTTCATAAATATTATATATATATATTAATAATATATTAATGTTTTTAAAAAGTTATAAACACATTGTTAATTATATCTTAAGTGAATGGCAAGTTATACATAGGTAAATAAAAACAAGGGTGATTTAACATCAGAGCAGCTCTTGACTCCTTACCTTTATGCTGCAGAGCACCACCACCACCACAGCATTCTGCCTTTACCACTTCCTATATGG